TTCTATTCTATTCTATTCTATTCTATTCCATTCCATTCCATTCCATTCCACTCCACTCAACTCCACTCCACTCCACTCCACTCCTACCCTACCCTACCCTACCCTACCCTACCCTACCCTACCCTACCCTACCCTACCCTACCCTACTGTACTCTACTCTATTCTATTCTATTCTATTCTATCCTATCCTATCTGAAATCTTCCTGTGTGTCACAGAGTTGCCTCAGAATGGGACCTTCCTGGAGATAAACTGGGATAAATATAGACCTGCTAATCTAAGGGTTAAAAAAAAAAACCTGGAAGGTGCTTTGTGTTGATGTACAGTAAATACATTTTAGTGACCAAGTAATAATGGTGGCACCATCGGATTTGAAAATCAACCAGGGTCAGATTTCTGCCTGGGAGACTGCCTGGGAATCCCTGGACTAGGTTGAGGCTCGAATGTGAAACTCACTTTGGAAGAAGACCGTGGGACAAACCACATACATATTGTTGCCCAGATAACAAGACAAAGCTCATCTACTTACTAAGAGTCAAACTCAATTCAAAGGAGACTTCTTATATTGTGGATCTTTTTGCTATAATATTTGCAGTTTGGCTTGATTAAATGCTACTTATTTCCATAAGAAAGAAATGCATCAATGTATCACTAATGCACTAGCAAACATGGCCAAGAGACTGATGGTAGAACAAGACCTTTTCCCTTCCTAATTCTGAAATACCATGATGTTTGATTTATTTATTTATTTATCTATCTATCTATCTATTTATTTATTTATTTATTTATTTATTTATTTATTTATTTATTTATTTATTTATCAAACTTACATAGCAACCCATCTTACAAATGTGTTGCTGGGCAGTAGGTTGAAGACAAATATAAACAAACATTAAAAACAATTAAGCATAAACATAAGTAAAATTGTGGAAGAATGGACCAACATGCTAAACACAGTATGATCCTGCAGGCACCCAGTTTCCATGGGATCAGCAAGGCTGCTGAATAAACCATATTTTAAGGGATTTGTGGAAAGCTAATAGGGTCATGGCTAAACTCATCTTGGGGTGGGGAGGGAGATTATGTTCCTGTTTGGTTTTTTTCTGCATAAATAGTCATTTGAGAAAAATTAGGCAACTGTTTTGTTGCTCTTCTGGGTACTTTTGAACAACTCTGCTCTTTCTATATGCCAGGATAAAATATAACTACAAAAATAATAATGTATTTATTTCTATTGCAAGAAAGAAAGAAAAAAAACAACTTTGAATGTACTTTTGTAGTATTATGTGTTGAATCCAATTCAAATCTTCCATAGAGGAGAGGCTTTTGATTGAGGAAGGAGAACATTATTGGAGAAGGGTGGGCCAAGTGATCTTTGTTGACTTCCCCCTACACTTTTTTACCTACCCAAAAATCTCCACTGGAAGATTTTGGAATCCTTTAGCAAATGAGATAGACAGCTCTGGACCCTGCAGAGGAAAGCTCAATCACAGAATATTGCTTTTTTTCCTTCCTTCCTTTTCTTTTTCTTTTTCTCATTCATTCACTCATGCATGCATGTATGTATGCATGCATTCATGCATTCATAATTTATTCCAGCCTTTAGGTGGTCCTTCTTCACTCATGCATTACTCCCACTGCTGGAATAAATCCTATATTTCATTCATGACAGCAATGAATATGAATAAAAATCATAGTCTTTCAAAGTATATTCTTTGGAAGAAAGAAGCACATCTTCACATTTCTGTCTTTGGAATGCTTTTAGAAGCTGCAATGCTTTTGTGGCAGTTCAATGTCTGGGAGTACTTTTTCTTATATTTTTTTCATCTAGAGAAGAGTTATTTTTCCAAGTTGGAGTGCAAACTTTCAACAGCTGCTAGAAGGGAGCACTGTCCTGCAATGGTTCGTCTTCTTTTCCAACAGTCGGTTCCAACTGATGTTCAAAGAAGGAGAGGTCATGTGCACAGTCCTTCACCTGTGGTGCTTCAGGGCTCAACAATCTTGTCCCTTCTGTTTTACATGGAAGTGTAGGGTAAGGTCAACTGTCAAACGCCCCCTGCCCCAACTCTGAGTGGTTTGAGTTTTAGGCCTTCTGAATCTGAGATTGCATGTCTCTTCTAATGAATAGAGTTGCGCTACCCCAAACATACCTGATGCATAAGCTGGGGATCTTTCTGAATTCATGACTCCTGCTCAAAGAGCACGTGGCAGTTGTGACTAGGAGGATCTTTGCACAACTTCATATTGTTTACCAGTTGTGCCTGTTCTTGGGTCATGAGGCTCTGCTCACAATTACTCATATCCCGGTCATTTCCTGAATGGACTAATATAATGTGCTCTATTGCAGTAATCAGAAGCTTCGATTGGTGCAAATGCAGTTATAGAGTTACGCCTCTGCTCTGTGAGCCAGATAATTTGCTTTCAGGTCCAATTCAAGGTGTTATTTTTGACCTTTAAATCCCTATATGGCACAGGGTTGGGTTATCTTGAGGGAACTTCTCTCCCTAATTATTTCTACCCATCCCCTCAGGGCCAGCAGAAGCATGTTGTGGGTTTCATTTATTAAGGATTTCCATTTGATGGGGCCCAGGAGATGTGTCTTTTCTGCTGCTGTGGCACCCACCTTCTGGAAAAACTTCCCTCTGAGATGAAATTGGCTCCAACTTTTTGGCCTTTTCAAAAGCCCTCAAAATATGTTTTTTTCCCTTTAGGCCTGAGGATCACCTGGCAGGAGAAAGCCCACATATTGATTACATCACGTTAACCCTCTCACAATCTTGTTTTTACTTAGGTTAATTGTTTAGCTATTTTTTTATATTCCATTTTAATTGTTGGATTTATTGTATGTCACCTTGTTTGAGATGGGCAGCCATAGAAAATTGATTAAATAAATGTGTGCATATACTGCAGCCTGAAATAAAAGAATCATGCGTTGTTATTATTAAATCGGTCCATATCTTCTGGTTTCACTTAAACATACCTTCTCTCTCTCCTTCCCACCCCACTCTTATTTTGCTGATCCAATAAGCATATCGGAGTATTTTAGTTTTTAAAAAATATCTTACCTGTCTGCAGATCAAGCTACAGTAATATAAATAGATAGCCCTGCCCTGCACAGATCAGCTTAGTTTCGTACAGATGTCAATCAGTTGGTGAGATGGCAGGAAAAACCACCTGGAGGGGATTATGTTATCATATCCAAAGCCCGAGATTAATAATGACAAGTGATGAGTTTACTCACTGGGCTGACATACGGTCTGCTAAGCTAAGAATACAGACTGTTTGAAACTTGGATGGGAAACCCCATGGAATTCTAGAATGTTAGAATTTACTCTGGGAACGTTAAAAAAACACACGACATGCCTGAAGAAAGAAATGGCAAACCCTTCTATCTTAATAAGCAGAAAACTGCATGGATGTCTCCATGAATTAAAGGTAAAGATAAAGGTTCCCCTCGCACATATGTGCAAGTCGTTCCCGACTCTAGGGGGCAGTGCTCATCTTTGTTTCAAAGCTGAAGAGCCAGTGCTGTCCGAAGACATCTCTGTGGTCATGTGGCCGGCATGACTAAATGGCAAAGGTGCATGGAATGCTGTTACCTTCCCACCAAAGATGGTCCCTATTTTTCTACTTGCATTTTTTACGGGCTTTCGAACTGCTAGGTTGGCAGAAGCTGAGACAAGTAATAGGCATTCACCCCGTTACGCAGCACTAGGGATTCAAACTGCCGACCTTTTGATTGACAAGCTCAGTGTCTTAGCCACTGAGCTATGAATTATGAGTCAAATTAACTCTCTTAAGTTTTCAATGCTGCCTGAAATCAAACTCCCACACTTGTATACCTCTAACTTCTCCATAAACAAAGCCTGACTCTATGAATTAAACAAAGCCCTACTGAATGAAAGAAAGGCTTATAGGATCACAGCTTGATTAGTGGTTCTAATTGATAAGGCTAAAGGCCATCAATTATTTGGATTTAGAATAATGGAGCAAATTTAGACTTATATATCAAGGGGAATAATAGGGATATGTGCAGAGCCATCCAGACAGGAGGGAAATGACAATATATTTATCATTATGTCACTGGCAAATCATATTACTTACTTACTTACTTACTGTAAGTCATTGGTTTCATGAAGTCTAAAAGAAATTATGTCATTTATGTAATTTGCATGATGGTTTTTATTAGATACTATGGCTATATGAGATATCATTACTTACTGGACTGGCATTATTATATAGTCGTCCGTAGTAGATGTACTGTACAAAATTTGTTAACATTAATACTAGTATTTAATGGTTTATCTACAAAAACTTTACTCTTACTGCTCCTATTTGTCCCACCTTCTGAGCCGCACAGCTGTCAATCATCCCATCCAGGACTTCTGGTAAGTAGCTATGATAATACAAACCCAGATATGTATAATACAAATCATAGTTCAGTAAGGACTTATAGATTTATACACTGAGAAAGGTAGGTAGTGCCAGTTCTGCTTGTGCATCAAAAATATTCCTGCTTCCGAGTCATTTGATGCTATTTGTCCCTACCACAAATTTTTTTAAAAAATGTTATTTTCATGCGGACATTTTGGAAGATATGAACATATGCAAATCAGGCATACTTTTAGGTCCACATCTAAAGGTTTTGTTTTCTTTCTCTCTTTCTCTCTGTGTGTGTAGAGAATAGAAACTGAATAAACGCAGACGGAAGGTAACGCTGTGCGAAGTAGTGGTAGAACTCGGAAGACTGTGTGCAGGTTCAATTCCACTGTCGTGGAAGTAACTTTGAGCTAATCTATTTTGCAGTCTGATCTACATCGCAAAGCTCTGTTTAGGGAAAATATGAAAGGAAGGCGCGCTGTGTGTGTGAGTTCCCAAAGATCGAGCAAGATATGAATTATTAAAATAAGGAACAACGCAAAACATAAATATGTGCCATTTTAGTGGGGGGGGGGAAACAACCTTCCGTCTGCCTCTGGAGATTATTCCGCGGTGTGTGATGATTCCGCCGCTCCCCAGCGGAGCGTGCCTTTGTCTTACACAACCAGAAGTGTTGAAGAAATTATTCATGCATATTCATGTGGCCTGAATGGTGCTCTTGCTCCTGTTTTCTGGAGGAAGGGGAGATTACTTCGGAGTAAGGAGCGCGCGGGGGGCCCAGCCGCGACTACTTCTACCCAGAGGAGGCTCCGGATTGTCCCCTCAGTCGGCGAGAGCCACTCGTCCAGCCTTGCGTTTTGACCAGATGGATCGCGCAGCGGCGCCTCGGAGCCCCTGGACGAGTTCTTCGGGAATCCGCCTCTGGTGCGATATTCACGAGGGAAGCCGCAGCGGACCTTTGGATCGGATAAGGCGCGGTTAAAGGGGAGCTCCGACGGTTCCGGCGCGCCGGTTCCCCGATGATCGTTGAATCGAGAAGGCGCGACGATCTCCGTTTCCTTCGCTCAGCGCTGAAGAGGAAGCGAGGTGTGCCTTGTGTGGCGGGGCGGAGGTGTTGGGGGGAGGGGAGCGAGCGGGGGAGGGCGGGATCTCCAGGTGCTCAGCACCGTCCTTTTGCTTGCCGCTCGTTAGACGCCGGCGGGGCGGAGGCGGAGGGGACGGCGAGCGAAGCGCCGGCAGTTGTAAAAAAAAAAAAAAAAAAGGAGAAGCGGGAAACGAAGCCGGCGCTCCTGCCCGCGGAGAGAAGCTTGACTTGGAGCGCCGCGATCCCCCTCAGCCGCAGCGGACAGACCAGCGGGGAAGACCCGTCCCTTCTCCCCTCCCCGCCTGCCCACCCCCCCCCGGGAAGAGTGCGAGATTTTGCCCGGTGAAGAGGGCTAGGTCGCCCCCCTGCGGCTCGGAAGCCCCGAGGGCCCCGGAGCCATGCAAGCAGCCACCGCCTCCATCCTCGACGTGTCAAGAACGGTGGTGATCCGCGAGGGGGGAAACCAACGGCGGAACGAATCCGCGGGTGAGAAGGCATTGGGGGGGGGGAGTGGAGGGGCGGGCGGGAGAGCCGGTCGTTGACCGATGAGAGTCTCGATGGCGTTAGAAGGAAACGGCCCCTCCGAGGTTTGATATGCGGGACGGGGCCAGATGACGGCGGGACGGGTGTGTTTGTGTGTGTATGTGTATGTGTGTATCTGTGTGTAGTCCGTTTTCTCCAGATGTTGCATCTGCGAGCATCTGCTCTTCTCTTTTCTGGCGTGGGAATGGCCAATGGGTTCGGTGGTTCTGCCTTCCTTAGTTTAGGCATGTCCTGACGCTGGGTATTGAAAGGTGAGATGATGGGCAGGCTAACAACTGGCCGAAACATGGGTGTCCTTGGGAGTGGTGGGGTTTCCTCTGAATTAAAATCCCGGAGTGAGTTTAGTTGACCCTTGCCATCACCGCTGCCACCTCTCAGGAGCCCTGATGGCATCCTTCAATTCCCACCATCTCACCTGGAAAGATCAGAGGTCAGGGTTGAAGACCCCAAAGACCTACTGCTAATTTGAATACTCCTTAAGCAATGGGACACCTGTCTGTCCTTAATGAAAAGCAGCTTGTTCTAGACAGACCTTGGTTGCCCCTTGATACTCTAAATGACCTATCAGTTTTTATTTAAAAAAATGTAGTATATTTGGTAAGCAAACCCCTCTCCAATTGTTATTGTGTTTGTTTCAATCTTCTGAGAGGCTCCAAGCTTAATGTCATCTGGAGATGTATGAAGTCACATTCGTAGTGAAGCTAAGGTCTTCTGGTATCACGCAATACTTAATGGGACACTGCCAAGAGACAGTTTGATTTTTCCAGGAGGGAAAAGAGGTGGAGTAGAATTAACTAAGGCGAAGTTTTCTGAAATCCATCTTGAGCCCAAGGCTCAGGTTTGTTCAGGAATCCTACTTAGGTTTATTCCCACAGGAAGAGAGTTCCCTGACTGAAATATATGAACTGAGCTTTTCAGTAGAGACAAATACGGAAAGAATCTGAAATCGACCATGCAATTCAGTTAATGAGCCACTCATGTAATCTGTGAGAACAATGACAGGCCAGTGTTGAAGTAAAATTGGTACACTGAGATGGAGATCTGCTTGTGCTGTGGTTCATCTACCTGGAATTGAAACCAGCTTCTGGATTATTGGAAGCTTCTACTAGAGCAAAAATATATTATGTGAAAGACAACTGATTGGTTCACCTAATTTTATTTTTTTTTATTTCTCGTTGCCCTGTTGTTTTTTTTGTGATAGACTAATCCCTATCCTTTCCTGAGTGCAAATTTTGGGAGAGGTAGTAATGGATTTTCAAAATCTTTATCTAAAAAACCCAGCTCATCTTAGGTTTGCAGACATTTCATATCCTGAGTTTGTGTATCTCTGAATTGAACAGATGCTGGCAAAAGCATGTTGCCTTGAGACGTAGTGAGATCCTGTCTTGCATAGAAGACTGTAAAATGGCTTGGGATAACACTGGACCTGGATTGAATCTGGATTGGACCATGATTGTACTTTGTGGCATGCTGACCAAAATATGCCCAAATTGATTGGTAAAACTTGTACTGTGTCTAGTTATAGCCAAGTGAATAATAATAATAATAATAATAATAATAATAATAATAATAATAATAATTTTATTTCTATACTGATCCTCTCCCGAAGGACTCAGGGCAATGTACAGCCTATTAAAACAAAAAATATACAAATATCAAAATTTAAAATTATTAAAAATATTACATAATTTCAGCCCAGATTAAAACCCCCAATTGAAAACTCCCAATTTAAAATATTACATAGTTAGCCCTGCCTGGTGAAACAGTAGGGTCTTAAGGGCACAGCGAAACACACGGAGGTCAGAGATCTTGCATATTTCCGGGGGCAGTTCGTTCCAAAGGGCAGGAGCTCCCACAGAGAAGGCCCTCCCCCTGGAGTACTATACTTACCATTAGCAGAGAAAGCTTCATGTATTATCAGTATCGCCAAGACTGGAGATCTAGTTTTTGGTTTATCTTAGTAATAATGAATTATGTGAACTAACAATGAATTATGGGAAAGCATTGATTAATTAAAACCATGATGGATGCAATAGAAAGATATCTGTGAACAGATCTGGTGGGGACCATGGCTTATTGCAACATGGAATGTATGGAAATAGCAAGCAGCATGAATGAACGAAAGAAAAGGAAAAAAATAGATTTCTTCTGTGCCTGTGAAATTAAGAGAAAGGGGAAGGATGTAATAACTGAATGAAAGTATTCTGATCTTTTGCACTGGAAGTGGAAGTTTAATTATTAATTAAAGAGCTAAAATTATTTCAGAAAGTGTGCATTTCTATCACCTAGGTTATGGGTGCATATAAAATTATGAATTCATGGTTTGTAATATTTGCATGTGATGTTACATTAAATTGTGATAATGACTGAAGTACAGATGAATTTTGGGGAGTGAATGTGATGCAAGAATGTGTTATATGATATGAATGGATGGAAGGGAATGAGATGAAAGAATGCAGAAAAAAAGAACTGGGCCGTGGATAGGAATACATTCTTGTGTCCAATAAAAAAATATCATTATATGAGTATGTTGAAAAATAGTGAGACTGAAGATAGTATAATTGGAGAGATGTTAAAATAGGGATATGGCTGGTACATAAAGTGGATGTGCAATTTGGTTAAGGTAGGTGTGAAGGTTGCACTTCTTTTTGACATTTGAAAGAATGCTAGTATTGTTCCCTTGTGTGAAGGGGGATGATACAGTAAAAACAAAATTAGTTTATTAAATGTACCTAGGAAGTGGCTGATCAGAATTCTGATCAGATGGGTATGAGACGTAACAGTGAACCATTTTGGGAAATGGAGTGTGACTTTGTGTTAAGGATGGGACCGGATCTTTTGCTCTTCCGATCATTAACTCATTTGGAAATGTGTGAATGTGAGAGAAGAAATTTCCAAGTGTTTCTTGTGTTGAAAAGCCAAATTATTTGCAGCAAATATTATATTGATTGTATGATGCCATGGAATGTTTTGATCTGATAATGAATGCACCAGACCAGAGTAGTTAGTTTGACAGGTAAAATAGAACAAATGATTAAATGGCAAAAAAAAAAAAAAAAAAAAAAAAGAATCCAGAAAAGTTTCTTCATGCTTACTAAGGAATGAGGAAATGTTCAAATGCTGGTAGAAAGGTACTGGATAGTTTGTGGTCAGTTCCAAAGAAGAAATTTTGGGGGAAAAAAATGTATATGAGCATGCTACTAGTTCCTTAAAAAGAAGTAAGAAATTGACCATTAAAAAATTGAACACTAAAGACGATGACTATATTTTAATCACATCCTATACTATTTCATATTTTTTTCTCTCTCACTATTAATTTCATACTTCCAACTTCATTGACTTCCTGTTTTTATTCCTTTTCTATGCTTTACATAAGCTGATTTTTGTAGAAAGGGAATAATGTGAATAATATATTTATTTATTTCAGGAAACCTATGTGCTCTAAGTATTCTTTGGTTGATGGGAGAAAATAAGGCCATGTCTACAAAATACAGATTTAGATTTCTTTTTTACATTTTAAACTACACTTTGTCCTCCCCAGTTTTCATAGGGTTCACAAATGGGATGTGGAACTGCTGTTATTGCAAGGGGGTTGGGGGTAGGGAGAGTTGGCTTTCTTTTTTTCCAGATAAAATGTATTCTGCCTCTGATTTTGACTCTTGGTTTTTGAAAAAGAAAAAAAAAGAATCATCTTCAAAGTGAAGCACATTCGTTTGGGCTCCAAATTGATTTTGCTGGAATAAAAAGCAGTTGTTTGTTACCTAGTATGTTTACACAAAGATGCGAACAAATAGAAGCCTCCTTTGATTTGCTAATGTTATCTCAGAGATTAAAAAATAAAAAGAAACATGGATCCTTTTAAATAGATTAAATTGTACCTTAACTTCCTTCTTGCTGCTGTACCAACATTTGGCTTCCTTTAGAATTTGTGCCATAAAGAGGGAAGTGATGTCAGTTGGGGTCAAGCAATAAGCTGGCTTCATGCAGGGAGAGGCAGTGTTGGTGAAGACTCTGACTGTGTTCATTAATGGAATGTGCCTGCAGACATGCCGTGCTATGAAGGCTAAGACTGTAGTATATTCTGAAAGTCAATAAAAAAAGTTTCTTGATACTTGGGACTGAGACTCTAGTACTGCTTTCTTGAGAAGTCATTTACTGAATTCCCAACTATCTCCTTTGCTTCCTGTTTCCTTTGCTAAGATTGTGTATCTAAAACTCCATCATTGCAAAGGAAGACCTGCAGTTCAGTGTGAAGATGAAGGAATTAGTGCCTTAGATTTAGAGCTGTTTAGATTTGAGGTTGCTATGCCAAACGTATATCATAATATTAGCTTGGCATTGCAACTGCAATTCTAGATACCGGTAGCTCTAAATCAGGGAACATAGGCTCACGGGGTAACTGATTGATTTAAAAAGAGATTAAAAATTAAGAGAGTTTTAAGTATTTAATTAAAATATA